TCATCAGTTGACGTTTTCGCATCTGTTACTGCGTCTTTTTCACCCACGGAGGTCCCCTGTTTCACGACTGGCTCTGCACCGTTACTTGTGCTAGACATGCAAATGAAATTATATACATAAAGTACAACTGAAATACAAAGTAAACGGTGGTGCACGGGCATACGTGCTACAACGATAAGCACGAATGCAGGAGCATGTGAACGTATTGCCGTTGGAAGAACATCGCCGTGAGATCTCAGTGATAGATTAGAGCTAAATACATTAAATAAACAGATTAAACTAGTGATTCGCTGACATTACACTTTTTCAATGTAACCCTTCACCGACCGGGGTTTGAACACACCGACGCTGTTCCTCTTCTATCAGGAGAACGACATCGTCTGAGCAGTGTTCCTGCAATTTACCCTCAACATGGTAATTAATTCATCGACGCCGTTTTACAAACTTCTAGCTAATTTCCTTCACTGCTGAGCAGAACGTCACAGTCAAGTGTTCCTGGGTTAAGTACTTACCCTTTTTTCTTTTTGAAATAGGTAAATGAGTGCCACTCCGCTGGAAGGAAACAGGAGACTATATATTATGTCTGTCATATGGCTGTTGCCGATCTCTGCCTTCAAATTAAGGCACTCCTTGCTGAAGTCATGGAATGGGAGATCATCGCTTCACCATTGACTTTATGCAAAGAACGACGCCAGAAATGGCCCCATCATTAAAATTTATGAAAGACCGACATTTCAACCATAACGCATATTCGTCTTATTCTTCAATAATTTGACAGCGTCGCTAAGTAACGCATTCATAGGATAATTGAATGACCAAAATAAATCAGTTCCTAAACACATACGACAACAGGAAATTGAAGATTGTCGTATTGCACTGCAAATACAGTACATTCCATAATTTAGTATTCATTTTCGGATAATGCACTGCCGTTTCTAAGCTTCAGGATTCAAAATATACATTTTGTATGAAATCGTTCTTGGAAACGCTTACGACAAAGAACTAAGTAACATAGTCTCTTGAAACACTCGTCGAATTTTGTAAAGTACAGAATGGGACTGAGTAACGAAACAATCCCTTGGCCTCGTCAGTTTCTCATTTCCCTCCCTTATCTGACGTCATGGAAGCTCCAAGAACGAAAGTTGACGCTTTTCCAATATTCTCGGTTGTACACTTTGCGCCTCCACCGCTGGTCATGTAGTTCGACCATCGGATCATCCCAGTGTGTTCTTGAGAAACTGTCTCGAAGTTTTTGATCTAATGGAACTGTTTGTAAGCGACTGTCTCTCAGGCGAGCGAGATAGCCGATTCGTCTTTTCTTGGCGTCATAAAGAGCAGAAATGACGTCTATTTATTCAATCCGCTGTTGTACTTGCGCGCTCAGAACATATGACACAATGGAGACCGTGGCATTTTTCGCTATACCGTTCTTTCCGTGACCATCAGTTTGTTCGACTCGGCTTTGGTAGAAGATCAACATTCAGTGCCGTAGATTATCGAGGTAAGATGGTTGAACGGTACAGTTCTTTTCGCCCGCGTAGGCAGCTTAATGTCATACAATGAAATTTGAATACGGCGAAAGCTAGCGCATGCAACGACAAAATATTACTTCCCCTTAATGTCAGTTCAGAACAAGGAATGTACCCCAACAAACTCTAACATGATAAACAGGGAAATGGGTAGCGACTGGAAAATCCGAGAGATTCGAGCAGTGAGCCATCCTGCAAAATTCTACCATAGCCATCGTTATGCATGGGTTCTCATCTACGCAACGGCTAATGAATGCCCCTATACCCCTTTGACTGATGACGTAATCGAAATTCAGAACCAGAAAACAAAGATGCTTGACAACTTCTGATTGAACGACCGACAAGATCTCTCCTCTAGCATCCATGTCAGCAGTGTTTGCGGTAGCGCGCTTGAAAGGCAAAGATATCATTGCTTGTTGAAAAGGTATTCAGGACGAAAATGTGATAACAAATTATTGCTTATTCGCAAAAAATCTCTACAAGAAAAAAACTGACATATTGGAAACGCAACTGATTTTTATAAATAAACAATCACAGTAGAGTTTTAAAGTCGGAAATCGAACTGAAACCGGCTTCATTTGGTCACCATCGACAGCAACTTGATATTCCGTATAAAACACAAAGCCAGTCGCAAAAGGAACGCAGGAGACACGGTTTGCAATCAGCAATTGTTTCTGGACCGTCAACATAAGAATGTCGAAACACGAGGTCTGTTGGAGAAGCCATAAGTTCGGTACGAAGTGCTCAGTCAATCCTTTCGTATCGCTCCTTCGCTTTTGTCCATCGAAGTCGGCGTTTCGCTTCGTTGGGGTCGTCAGTAGCGACGCTTGAACCAGAGGTGGATCCAAGGCCTGCAGAGCCAACGTTGGCCAGGAGACATATCTAAAGTAGTAATAGATGGTCAGGACAAACTGCGCTGACATGGTTGCGATACTCGTCAAACACTAACGATAATAATAACTGGTAGAAACATTTGGCTAAGAAAACCAACAACAAAAAACGTTAGAGTCAGAACATTAGTGGATGCACTTCATATCTTACTGAACAACAAGGATGTAAGTGGACTCTTTGGCGTGCATCCGCAGTTCAGTGGCTCAACTAGAAAAAAGAAAAATTCAAAAGGTACACGGCTGTGTTCTGTGACAACGATAGCTAGCAGTGCCCTAACGACAGAAGCAAGCGTCCCGCTAACAAACGAGACAAGAAACCAGAATTTCTTCCCATTTACCTCCTTTGGTATTAAGCATACACGCAAAATTAAAGGAGTATGCAACCATGTAATTCACTGTCCTTTATACATCACCTAGTAGTAGTTCACACCACAGTCATCGCTTCGCTTCGGCATGAACAAAAACGACACCATTCATAGAGTAATAAAACTGCACAATAAAGTAATTACGATAATAATTCGAACGCAATATTTATGGCGAGACTCAACGAAACCTTCGACAATCAACAGAGCCTACTACTATTTAGTTTAGTGACGCAGTACCGGTTCTTTTATGCCGACTCCGTGCTTTCCGAGACTTTCGCCTTTTTGCCAGCCCATCTTAGTCAACATTTTGAAGCCTTTAGTTTCAGCACTAACTGGCCTTAAAAAATAACAGCATTAAAATATCGCAATAAGCAAATCCATGGAGCAAATATATGTAAGGGAAAAACATTAAATTATGAAAAAATTCGCCTGCTGGTTTTTTCCTTCAGGTTTGCTCATTCTTCGTCGCCACACTGGTCATTTATCAATGGTCCAAAGGTTTCACAACACTAATTTGATATTTTCTTTGCTGCAAAAATGAAACTCAAGACATCTCATTCCATCAACTACCCGCATCATTATAAAAGAGCAGAGAAAGGGAGATTAACAGTCCTCCACCTTACTTTCGGTAAACCCTTTTTATACAAAGGAGACACCCGTGCTTTTTCTGGAAAATTCAGTTAAGTAATATGCGCCCATATGGATCATAGAGAGACACAGTATAAGCCATATGTTCTCCGAAAATTTAACCCCCTCTGCACTGTCAAAGATAGAATAATTCTTTCTCAAAAGATAAAAAAGAGGCTAGTGCCCACCCTCACTTGGCCAGGTAGGGATGTGCGCAAACACTAAAGATACCTCGTTATGCTGAGATACTCACTGGTCGCATTTAAAGGTACTGTGCGCTCAGACAGAGCCTTTGCCTATCAGAATGCTACGCCTGTTTAATCATCTCCTTCGATCCAAGTTATACTAATAGTAGTCAAAGGGAGCATTCTGATATGCAGGAGCCAGGAGCTATCTGACCCTCTCTATGATAGAGAGGTTGAGGAGTAGCTAAAGGTTCCCTCTGAGTGCAATACCCCCCCCTAGATGAGGGTAATCACAAGAGACTATCTGAGGACAGTATGGCAGGGCTAGTGTACGCTCACGTCAGCTATCTGACCAAG